CCCTGTAATCTCAGCATTGAAAGGCTGAGGCAGGAGGATCACAAGTTCCAGACCAGCCTGAGATACATAGCGAGGCACTGTCTCCCAAAATAAAAGAAAAAAAAAAAAAAAAACGTTGCCTGGGCTGGGATGTAGCTCAGTGGTGAAGTGTTTGCCTAGCATGCACAAAGCCCTGGGTTTGTACCACAAAAAAAAAGAAAAAAAGTTCTGTTTTTACAAAGCCAAGTTTTCAGGTATGTCTCTTAAGAGTGTGCTTGTGTACGTGTGTTTGTGTGTGTGTGTATGTTTGTTTCTTTTTCCTCTTCTTAAGTCTTCTTATAGTTTCCCTTGATTCTGACCTTTATTTGCCCTGCAGCCCAGTTAGGGCACAGACAAGCTGCGTGCTATGACTCTGAGTCATCTGCTCCCTCCTACTTTCTCACCCTCTTTCATTTCCTGGGATTGTCTTGCTATATTAGACTTACCCTCTGTTGTCTCCTGGAAAGGGCAATGCAAGTCCACTCTGGTAAGGCTCCTTTTTATTTTCTTCCTTGTCTTGTACTAAACTAAATATTTACCATAAAGGATTTAGTTTTAGATAACATGAAAGATTATTATGGAAATGTCATCTAATGTCTGTCAAATATTCTAATGTCTGAATAAAATTAATCCTTATCTCTTTTCCCTGACTTGAAACTTCTCATTTCTATTTTAAAGAATAGCAAACCTTGAAAAGGGTTGTTTATTTATTTATTTTTAATCTAGGATAAAATCTCTCTTAGAAACTTTCAGGTAAAGAATTTAATTTGTTAGAACAGTTTAGATCACTGTAGGAAGTGATCTGAAGTCAGTTATGTGGGTTGCAACTAAATCAACTTAGTAATTATTGTTTTACACAATCTGTTGTCTGTACAAGTTTGAGTGTTTACTGTTTTGGGTTCTGTTTTTTTTTCTTCAGCAGTAGGAATTGAACCCAACACCTGTGCATGCTGGGCACATGCTCTTGTCACTGAGCTACACTGCCAGCCCCTGTGTTGGGTTCTGAAATGTATCTTTTGTAGTCTTGGTCATCATATTGGGTAGAATATTACTTCCCTGGAGTTTGTTTCACATTCATGCTTTTATTATTTTACATTAATAGTGATCAAAGAGGCATTGGCTGTTATTGTCTTATTTGAATTTTAGAAAAACAATTATATGTTTTATTTTGTAAGAATAAAATAGATTTATTTAAGGTCTGAGAAGTAATGATAAGGGTTTGTTGGCATATCTTAGGGGAAGTGAGTTCCTAGATGCACTCACCAGTGAGGATGGGCTTTGGAATTCTGCCAGAATATCCTCATATGGAAAAGTGAAGTCCACAGAACTCGGCTTTCAGCAGCCATGACTCAGAAGGTAAAATACTGCCAATGTGACAAAATAACTTGTAATTAATGTGAACAACAACAAAAGAAGACACTTTGAAATAACAAAACACTGGAAATCATTAAGCAGTTACTGCACATTTTTTTAAAACAAAAAGTTTATTTTTATTGTAAAATATACATACCGTAAATATATCATTTAACCATTTTTAAGTGTACAGTAGAGTGGCATTAAGTATATTCACATTGGTGTGTACTATATTAAAAAACAAAACAAATAAATTACCTTGAAAAAGTTACTGGGCCTCTTGTTTGCTGAAGCAGCCGCTCTGCCACTTGAGCCACTCCTCCAGTCACTGCACATTTTTAAGATGATTCTTTTAATGATTGCCAAGCTGCTTTTCACTTGGTTCCTACCACCAAAGCAAAATTATATTTATATTATTTTATACTTGCTTTAAAATACTCTCTATCTATGTATCTGTTTCTTTCTGTTTTAACTGAAGAGTTTCATAATACATCTTTATGTGTTTGCTTGAAGAAAACAAGAATAACCTGTTGTATGTACTTCTAACCATACTTAAGAGGCACTGTGATAGAGTAGGAAAAACACCAGAATAGGAAGTACCAAGTCAGGGTAGCATAATGTAGACCTGAATCCTAGCTGTATAACAGTGGGAAAATTATTCATCCTCTGAGGCTTCTTCAGTGGCCTTATCTGTAAAATGCAAACAGTAAGCCTTACCTCTCATAGTGTTGTTATGAGGCTTAACTTGATAATTCAACCAGACTCTTCAGAAGGCACATAAGGGGATGTAAGGGTTACCTGTTTTTCCTGACATCTGATTCTTATAACCAGCAAAGGAACCATGGGAAAGTTACTTAATCTCTCTGAGCTTTGTTTGTTTATTTATTTATTTATTTTTAAAAAGACAGTTCTCTGATTCTTAATGTATATTTAAAATGTAATGGTGGATCAAGAGTAGTCATGAGTAGTTTTTTTTTTTTGTTTTTTTTATGAGTAGTTTTTCTTTTTCTGGGCCCTGTTACCCACCCCTTTTTGTATATGTGAGAGAGACAGACAGACAGAATCTCAATATGTATATATGTAGCTCAGGCTGACACCAAACCCCATAATCCTGCTGCTTCAGCCTTCTAAGTACTGAGATTACAGGCATGCACCATCATGCTCTGCTCCTTTGTGTTTTTTATATAAGTAGGGCCAATCAGCTAAATATGCCCAGCACTATAAATATTTTGTATTAGAAACAATTTATGTGGTTGGGATGGATCTTAAGATAACTTGTACATGTCATTCTTCTCATATGCTCAGTTTTAGGTAATATCACCCAGAACAGCTCTTACTCTTCATTAGTAACAGGAATCGTGAAGGGAGGAACCATTATTTTTATAACTTTGCTTTTTATGAATTGGTGCCTAGAAGTAAGAGTTTCAGTGGGCGTCTCTTCTTTCTTCAAGACTCTTTGATAAGAGAACAAAATCTTTGTCCTCATCATGGAAATAAGTTGTAAGATAGGGAGGCAATGACAGCAAATAAAAAGCTTTTAATCTGAGTTGGCTTTTAAGCACTATATTATTCCAAGGTTATAATTGGACAGACTTGTTGTTCTGAGATGAAAAGGAACAAAGAATGTTTTTAAGTCTTCTGTTACCTTTGAGCTGTTAAAATAATAAAGGAGGGGTGTAGCTCATTGGTAGTACACATGGTTGGCATGCATGAGGCCCTGGGGTCAGTCCCCAGCACCCCTTTTCCCCAAATCATAATAATAATAAGGGGAAAGGACATTTTATAGTAAATTCTTGCCAGTTTGTTAACTTTCCCTTATTTCCTCATTGTGGAAATTTTGAAATTTCCATTTCACTTAGTTTTAGAGTCCTAAAGCTCTCCTTTCTGAGAGTTAAAATTTCTACCTTTTTAGTTATGGCTCTTTATTGTTTTTTGCTTTCAAGTCAATTCTTGCTGTAAGAGCTTCTGTTTTTGGAAGTGCAGGTAAGCAACTTTTTGAGAGTTTCTATCACTGAGCACATGTGACTTCTTTTACCCTTGGATGCCCTTCTGCTTGAAGAGCTATGTAAGATGACATCTTTTGAAATGGCATGAAAACAGATTGCAAAACTTGTAGAGGGCTGGAGGCATTGCTCAAGTGGTAGAGCACTTACCAGCAAAAGGCACTGAGTTCAAAATCCAGGACTGCAAAAACAAAACAAATAAACAAAAACAAGAACTTGAAGAGCATGAGCAGACAGAGCAGATACAAATCCAAGGCTAAGACTAAAGAAAAAAACTGAACACTCCTTGTTTTCAAATAACTGAGTTGAGAATTGGGGGTTAATAACAGGCTTGGAGTTTTTTCGTGAAAAATGTTAAATGTACATGAAATAGTAAGAGGAGTACACTGTTTTAAGCCACATGTGAGGTAACTGGTGTTGTCTGACTTTGTTTCTGAGGTGAGGTCTCTATGTTGCCTGGGCTGATGTCACATCCTGGGCTCAGTCCTACCTCAGCCTCATGAGTAGTTGGGACTGCATTACGCAGCCCCGTGCTTGGTCACATGACTTAATATCACTCCAAGTACAAATTGTTACAAAAAATAGTATGATACTGGTTTTAGAAAAGGGTGCTTTTTAAAGAGAAGGCACATTATGTGACCCTGAGAAGTCCTTTGTAACGTGTGTTTAAGATCCTTTTACTTTTTTCTCAAGGCCTCTCAGTCCCTTCTTTTGCTTTTAGGTTATTTTTCAGGTAGGGATCTAGTGTATTTTTGCCTCTGCTAGGACCTAGATCCTCCTTCCTATACCTCCTGCCTAGCTGTACTTGCAGGCATATGCCACCATAACTGACTTGCTGGTTAATTGAGATGGGGTCTCACTTTTTGCCCAGGTAGTATCACACTGCAGTCATTCCAGTTTTTGCCTACTGAGCAGCTGGCATTATAAGTGTGAGCCACTGTACCTGGCTTTTTTGTTTGTTTTCTTAAGACAGGGTCTTGCTATGTATCCCAGACTGGCCTTGAACTCTCAACCCCAGGCCAAGTGCTAGGATTACAAGTGTGCACCACCACACCCAATTTACCTATACTCTTGATATGGCTTTGGTGACAAGGTTGTTGTCATTCTTGGGCCACCATTTTTCAGGATGGTTAAAGAAATGGTACCCTGAGTAAAGAGAAGCAAAATATGCTGGGTGCCTGTGGCTCACACCTGTAATCCTAGCTACTTAGGAGGCAGAGATCAGGAGGATAGAGGTTCAAAGCCAGCCCGGGCAAATAGCTTGCAAGACCCTATCTCAAAAAAGCTCATCACAAGAAAGGGCTGATGGAGTGCCTCAAGGTGTAGGCCCTAAGTTCAAGCCCCAATACTGAAAAAAAAAAAAAGTAACAAAATGAATTCACCTTGCCCATATCATTCTTCATTATTGGTAACTTACTAAGAGTCAGCAAAGCTCAGGATATAAAGGACATGAGTGTGTGTATTGAGCAAATGAAGTGATTACCTTATAGTCTGTGGAGAGTCTCAGTCACTCACCTCTGCCTGTGTGATGCACTTCAGTGTGTCTGGACTTTGGTTGCAATGAGCTGTACCCTTTCACCTTTAGCAAGGCAGAAGGCCTGGGTCTCTCTTTTATTAAGATTCCAAGTTAACTTTTTTTGGTTGCAACATTAGCATGGAAACACTTAAAGTGGGAGAGGAGGTGGAGGGCAGGGAAGTGGCCCAAACAATGTATACACATGTGAGTAAGTGTAAAAATGATAAGATAAAAAATAAAAGACTGGTGGAGTGGCACAAGCACTAAGAGTGCCTGCTAGCAAGCATGAGTGCCACCAAAAAAAAAAAAAAGTGTAATCCTAATGTTTCTTTGCTAAAGATACCACAATAGTGGAGATTAAATCTCCACTAAAGGTTATTTCACTCACTTGGCAAGGATAATATGACAACTCTTAGCATTTCTGGTAATATAGAATGGTGCAGGCACTATGGAAAGTAGTATGACATTTCTTAAAAAATTACCATATGATCCACTAATTTCACTCCTGGGTATGTACCCAAAAGAATTGAAAGAAAAGACTCAAACAGATACCTACACAGCATTATTGAAACGGTATGAATACACTTAATGATAATAAACTGTACATGTAAAGGTGGTTAAAGGGTAAATTTTATGTATATTTTACTACAATAAAAATGTTAAAATGAAAAAAAAAGAAATTCTTAAAAAGTTTCACAGATTATTCTAATTAGGCAGCAAAGTTTGAGGCCCTCTGTAGCATATAATGTCCCTATCTAGATTACAGCCTTTGAAAGAGAGCATTCGGTAATCTTAATCTTCCGTCTTCAACCTAAGAGTACACCTGTGAGTTTATTATATACTCATTGTTTAAACACATCCTAAACATAAAGAAGCCAGTTATTTAGTTGTTCAAACTAAACAAATATCAAGAAAGCCATGGTAAAGTATGAGTTTTCTTGTAGGTGTTGTAGAATCCAAAGAAAACTGGTACACTGTAAGGTAGAGCTTCATCGGGAAAGGTTTCTATAAGGAAAAAGTGAAAAGCAGCAAGGATTAGTTAGATGAGTTCAGGGATCCAGGGGCCATGGCTCAAGAGTATCTTCTACTAGGACATAGGAAATGTTCATCATGTTCTGAGTTTTCTGTGTTTGAGCCACTTACGAGGTTTGTTTGTTTAAGACAAGGTCTAGCCTTGGTTGTACTTGAACTTAAAATCCTCCTACCTTAGCCTCCTGAGTACTGGGATCACATGTGTGTGCCTTGGTGCCCAGCTCTAAACTGAGCTTTGGTTTTGAAAAGGCAGTTCTGGTGTTTGCTTCGGCAGCACATATACTAAAATTGGAACGATACAGAGAAGATTTGCATGGGCCCCTAAAAAAAAAAAAAAGAAAAGGCAGTTCTGAACCTACTCAGTCCTGCTCAGACTACCACTGGTTATTTTCCTTCTCTGTTTATAGTAGAAAGTGGAAAGCAAAGGTATCTCCCTTTCAGACAGGATTATGGGTCTAGAATAGCCACCTGTAGCACATCTTATGTGCATATAAAGAACATTCTGTCTGTGGGATTGGTGACTCCAAGGCAGCAGTCCTACAGTTAAGAGTGCAGCAGTTATTTCAGTGGAAAAGACCCGAGTCAAGAACTAAAACAGCTTAAGTTCTATTAATGGTTATTAATATTATACTAACTTTACATATTGTGTAATTGTAATTAATATCATAAGAACATACAGAATCTAATAAGGTACATGGGAGGAGTGGGACATACTTTGTCCTTTTTGCTTTATAACGAAGACTAACAGATGAATCCTAGGTGTTTAGAAGAGATGAGAAAGATTCAGGTGGGCAGAATTGAAAGAGAGAACATTCTAGGTAGGTGGGAGTGGGT